GCCGCTTTCGAGGGCGTACGGTGGAAAGATATACGGCCGGTTAGGATGGCTGGTAACGGGTGGATAAGAGAAGGGTCGGGAATTGGTTGTGGTTGCGCGGGGGACGCGATTCGGCCGTTTCGCCCATCGTTCGGAAAAACACGGCCAAAGAGGGTGGAAAATTCTTTTCTTGTATCTGGGCTCGCGTTAAGCGTAGTTTCGTCGACCAACGAATTTTTGTGACCATTCTGACTTTTTCTCTTTCAGGTAAGTAGTGGTCTCCGATCGTTTGAAAAGCGAGCGGCCCGCAGCCGTCGCACCGGACGGGAGACATGCGCAGCAAGCAGCAGCCGAGGCCTTCTTTTCGGTGGCCGCAGCAACGCGGCGATAATCTTACCGGTAAATATCTTAACCCACGCAAACGCACGTAGCGCAGTACGCACGAGCACGCACACGTATTCCCGTTTGCACGCATTTTTATTTTTCCGTAGTAATTGTACGCGCTTCTCGCGCGTTTCCACGTTACTTCTATGCTTTCCATCCTTGTTTCCTAGATTGACAGTCGAACGTCCGTATCGCTGACCTTCGATCGGTATAAAGACAATGCAAACGCGTTAACGAGTACGTATCTACTTGCATGCGTCCTTCTTTCGCTATATCCACGTCTGACTGCATAGCGTGCGAAACTTTCCATCGGCTACAGCTAAATGATTTCCATTTCTTTGCTCTTCCTTTCGCTGCCCTTGATGGTTGTTGATTCATAAGTTACGGCAGGTCGTTGTTAACTTGTTAACCGGAAAACACGAGTTATATCGCCGTCCTCGCTCTATTTTTATCGAAAATAAATTATGCTTTTCGAGATTTTCCACTCGATTTATCGGCTCTTAATTCCCCGATTACAGCAGAATCCGGTTAGCAGGTTAAAAAGATAAGTATCGTACGCTGTTATCGCGTAGAGACCGAGTCGAGCGTGTTTCGTTATTCGGACGAGTCGACGTCGAGAAAAAGAACTGTCGAAATGGTAGTTCGCGACGCTGTCGCACAGAGCGTGTGCGTTCTACGTCCGTGCGTGCATTTCGGTGGAGAAATTAGAAATGCCCGGAGAGATTTATTGCCGGTTGCGCTGCGCGCAATTGTCGCAAAAAACGGGAGATCCTCGTCGCTCGTTTCTATCGAGAATCGGTCCACGGAGCGCAAACCAAAGAGACGATGATAGTCCTGAAACGAGACTCGCCTTTCGCTCCCAACGTAAACGCGGCGCGCGTTCTTGCCGCTGATTTACGATACCTCGAACGCACATAATTATCCAACGAAACGTTTTGATGGGAAATCGTTGTCCGTTCGACGCGATAACGTATATCCGTGTTCGTTCGAACCTCGCGCGATAACCGGGCCCGAGTGCGACAACGCGGTCAGACGCAGGCGGCTGCATCGGTGCTTTCGCTTCGGTCGAGAACGGAAGTCGCCGCTTGAGATCTACGACGTCGATGGATGGATGACTGGGATGGTCGATGTTCGGTTACGATCGTCGATCACGAGGATCGATACGAAAACCGTCGAGAAACGAAATTAGGAAGATGTCGTGATCGATTCGGCTTTCACGGGGCTTTCGATGCGATTATCTGGCTGATTAATCCGAAAATATAGACACACGCTAATTATTCGATCGTAGATATTTACGCGATCGACTTTTTATAAACGCAACAGAAGCGACCTGATCGGATAAACGTACAGATACAGTCCCGCATCGTGGACGCTGAAACGACTACTGCTGTGCGTATTCTTCGCCCTTACCCACTTCAACCTGGGACACCGTATTAATTCGCATACGGAACAGGTGGCAGGAAAAGAGGGCAGACGGGTCTCGTGCCTCGAACACAGAAGATTGCGACGAAAGCTAGTTCGTGCAAGAAGAGGTTCGATGGCGAGCGCGTTCCAGAACCTTGGATGACGCTCGAGACAGGGCAGAGATATCGAACGATCGCGTCGCTCGAAAGCGGATAACCGACGCGGATAAAGTACAAGTCCGCGTGCGTGTGCCGGACAAACGGGGTCGTCGAGGGACACGCGACTCCTCTCTCCAATAGCCTCTAGCAGGGAATCGTGCCGGTCTCGGCGATAACCCTCGAATGACGTGACAAGCGAAATCCTGTATCCACGGTCCGGCTGGCGCGGGATATCGGCGGACGTCTAAATGAACCGTTGTACCTTCTGCTTTGATTTCAAAGAGCGGATCCCTAACAGCCGAGGAATATTCATTTAAATATCTGTCGATACTCGAGTCCGACGCGAGGGTTGCACCGATGTCAGCGCCGGACTTATGTGCCCTCCGCGTTCTCCGTTCCCTCCTCCAGCTTTTCCCTCCTTTCCTCCTGCACCCGCTGCCTCTTTCACCCTTCGCCCCTGCTCTCTTTCTCCACCTCTCTCCCATTCCAATCCCGTCCCCGTATCCATCCCCGTCCTCTTCTACGGCCGCACGCGTACCTACCTGTCTACCTGCCCGCGTTATATGTATCTATACACGCCCACCAGTCGACGTCTGATCTCTGTCGCGGATACGTTCAATCCCGCACTTTGTTCGTCGCCAGTCCAATTCTATACGATCTCTTGGTTACTTCCCCTCCAGTGTCTTCTTTCGTCGCTTCCTTTCCTTTTTCACGCCTCTTTTTCTTCCCTACTTTCCTTCGTTCTTTCTCCATACGAGCTGGGTCTTTCCCTTCGATATTTTATATATCGTACGTTTACTTGTAGGATAGACCTATTGCTACGTAAAAGCGTACGTGAAAATTTCAATCAGTTAGTTGTGCAGAAATTCTCCAACTTTTTAAATTATGTGCTTCTACGATAGTCGTTAAAAGAAGACAGCTTCTTCGTATCGCTGTATACACCGAACTAGTTCGGATAACTTGGATCGTCAATCGATAGATTATGTTCTACTGCGAACAACTGCGAGCAACGTTGTCGTCGATTGCATTCGCGGAGGCGTAACCTCCCTTACGGTATCCATAGTATCTCGGAGGAAATGATAAAAATCGTAGCTTGAAATTTTCGTTCGTTCTTCTTGTTTTTTTATTTCATTTTGACGCACTCGTGTGCGCAATACCGAAGAACCTACGTCGGTTAAATAAATAAATAGATAAAAGATAACACGTAGGAGGAAGAAACACGCTGTTCTTATTTCTTCGACTTTTCCTTAGGATTATCGTTTTGCCTCGGTTCCCCTTCCAATCCTCTTTTTCTTTCCGTTCTACTTTCGGATTCTCCGCTTTCGTCGGTTCTTCCCCTCTCGCTTTTTCCTCTCGATTTTCCTCGCTCACTCGCGGTTTTCAAACTTCTTCGCGATTCCCTTTGCGATTTCGCGCTTTACGAGCACCGTTTTCTAAAGCGAACGCGTGCAAAGCAAAGGAAAAGTAGCGACGAAAGTAAAGAGAAAATCGAGCGGAACGTCTCGGGGACGATCTTCGCGCGATAGCAAACACCTTTCCGGTAGCCGTAGGTGGGTGGCGGTGAACCGAAACGGTTAGCGCATCGACGAGGTAGATAGAGACGAACGGGCGGCGGTAGAACGAGAAAGGACCGCCAGGGGGTGTGGAAAGGAGCACTTTGCGTGCGTCGTTTAAGAGAAGCTTAATGCCGCCGTAAAACGCGCTAACGACCGACTCTCAGCCCTTCTTCGTCTTTCACGAGCTATCGTCGTTCTTTAGCTTCCGAAACTGTATTCCCTCTAGCGAGACACTCTGCGCCATCGACGTTGGTTCTCATCTACGAACAGATTTAACATTCCTTTTATGCATCAGAAATCACATGGCCACTCGATCGTCGCGATTTCCGTTACGTGACGCAACGATTAAACACGTCGCGGACGAACGAGTTTCCTCGTACGTTTCACCAGAGAAACACTCTGCGCGATCTCAATTTTTCCTACTTCTTTGTATCAGATACTAGTTGTGTCGTTGACACTCGAACTTTCTTCCACAATATTTCGCCAATCGATAATATCGTAATATTATTAATTTTAGAACAGCTGAAAATAAAAATGGTCGTTGCAGCACAACAGTAGGATCATAAAGTCATCGAGTGATCGGAAATAGTGCAGGGAATCGACAATCGTTTACAACCAAAGAAAACTCAACGACGCGGAACTTTTTCCCTTTCACGAAACGCGGGCTTTTTTATTGTTTTATTAGCCGCGAAACGTCGATCGGCTACTCGAAAGTCGCGTTCCTTCTTCGATTACTCGGTCTCTCCACCCCGTCCATCTCGAGAAAATGCAAATCAGGAAGTCGGAGCGTCCATCCCCGGCAACTTTCTACCATCGGTCTATCATGATGAACTTTGAAGAATAAATACGCATCTTTCTACGAATCTACATAATATGCTTAACTTGGTTTTTCCCCGAACTCTGGTTACCCCTGAAAGAGACTCGACCGCGTTAAGTCGCAGCTCGAGGCAGTCGAGTAAAAGATCGCGCGATCTCTCGTCCCGCGACAATCGAATTATCCTTTTCTTTTATTTTTCGGCAAAATAAAAAGAAACATACGTCGTTAATTTTCAGTCGATACATTTGAAACTGTTTCAACGATACGTTCATCGTGTTACGTAATCGCCGTAAGTGTCTTCGTAATTATATCACCAAGTAACTGCGTTTAACGAAACGATAAAATTGCGAAACCGGAGCAGCAGTTGCTTTTGTAAAAGCACTTGATTCTCTTCGACTAGCGACACGTAAAATTTCGCTAATAATATTAGTCCAATTGCGCAACACAGCCCTGGCACTTGCTACGTGTGCGTTGCTCTCGCCGCGGGTGTCGTTCGCTCGCGTCGCTTCTAATTGATCCGAATCGACGCGCCTTCGATACGTCGTCTTCGATTATAAAACTGGCAGAAGAGGAAACAGGACGGACGACCGGCGGAAGGAAGGGCGGAAGAAGCAACTGTACTCCCCGAGGGTAGCGCGCCTCGTATATTCCCGCCCTCTCGACAGTTTCTCCCTTCGCATTTCCGCGGCTAGTCCTACTAGCAGCGTTTTAATCCAGCGAACCGACGTCACTCCACCGCCCCGAATAATCAGCCTGAAATTCGTTGCGAGCGTAGGCAGGCGAATTGTCGCGAAACGCAACAAAAGAACGAGATATTAGTCGGCTGCGGCTGTGCGGCTACGGCTGCTGGCCAAACTGTACGCTCGGAAA